AACTTATTTCTGAACACTGGTTAAGTTCTCTGTAGGGTCTGTTCTCTTTCCCCCGTATCTCAAAATGAGCCCTTAAAACTGACAGATTCTTTTAATCTAAGCATCACTTCCTCAAAACCATCAGACAAGTTGAAAATCAACACTTCCTTGGTTTCCATGGATTGTGTAAAACTGGCTGGGCAGAAGAGCTTGTAGTAAAAATAAATCTCCTTTCAGAGATGCTGCTTCATTCATTCAGTTGGTGCTCAGTAGATAAACTGGGCCATATTTTGAATGCTTAAAGTCAAATACTACTCTTACCCTCATCAAGTTTTTTGCTTTGTGTATTCTGCCATGAGACTTGAGGGCCCATGCAGGAATCGATTCCCCTCGGAAGCTTAGGGCTTCTCTATCATTTGTCTGTTGCCTGCCTGAACTGCTGTAATGCTGTATTACTGCCCTAATTGACCTAGTGCCTTTTCTGATCCCTCGTAGATCTGCCACAGCAAAAGTGGAGAGATCAACCCTATGAAGGTGGCTAACCTGGTGAAGGCATATGTGGAAAAATACAAACATATGAGGAAACATAAGAAATCTGATGGTGACGATACACAGGATGTGGAAAACTTAGAGCAAGCCACAGCCAGCACAAGCTTGGACTGAAGTTACTCTGGCTGCGAACACTATGCCAGAGAGCATAATAGCTCTGCAGTTGCATCTCATTGAAAACAAAGTGCAGAGAAGCAAGATCATAATAAGACTTACTTGTGGAACCTTCTTCTGAATTGTTTCCATGTGGGAATGAACTCGGGTTTGGGGTTGGGTTTTTTGTTGTTTTTTTTTTTTCTTGATTACCTACAGTTGTAGAACTAAGTAACAATCAAATGTCTCAGACCAGCAAGAGTAATTCCAGGGGGAACACAGAAGAGATTAATGTTTGGGACTCCTGGATTGCTACAGTTTTCAGGGTTACTTTGATCACATTTTTAGGCTGTGTACCTGTCTTGCTAGAAGTTTGAATCTGGACACCACTTTTCATATACAGTATATTGAGAGCTGTATACTGTTTCCTTGTGTTTATTTATCGAAATACGGATTGTCTTTAGAAACTTCTGATTTAATACTTGAAATGTTGTATTTTTAGCCCTGTTTGATGGTGAGCGAAGCTTTACTCGCTCTGTCACTTGGGGATTGCGGAAATGAGTTAACCTTTATAAACTGACTTCAGAAACACTGCTCAAGCCGTGGTGTTTATTTACGTTCTGTTGGAAGCATCTTGTTAGTGAAAAGTTGAGTTTCGGGGTGGGAGACTGCATTGCACTTCTGTAAATAATGCACTGATGGCTGGTTTTGTGTATGCCTTTCAGGAGAAAAATAAACAGCAAGCATTGTGAATTTTCAGTAGCAGGCTGAAGGGATGAGGTTGAACTGATGTACAAAGCAGAAATGTGAGAGAATTTATAAAGTTATTTTGAATGGTTTTAGTCCTATAGCGGGTGTCATTTTTTTTGTCTTACAGCTGCCTCTTGCCATGGCTACTCTGTATAAACTGCCACACTTGGCTCTTGCATGAGGAGTACCGTGTTTCTAGAAGAGGATTGAACGGGATAAGTAGCTGTTCCTCCTCCCCTGCAGGAGGACTGGTTTTCTTGTCAAGAAGCAAAGGAGTCCAGCAGACACATACTGACCTCATCTTGCTTGCTTTAAAATCACTCCTTGTCTATAGGTACTGCAGAGCAATCAGTCTTTAAGTGATCTGTGTACATGACTGAAATAGCGACACCCCCTGCACCTGACAAAAAGCATCATTCTGTATCTGTGTTAGGGAGAAGACATTTAATGGGGAAGCTGAAGCGAGAAACAGTAACTTACAAATTGGAAACTAGTTCTCTATTCAGTGAGAAATGTATGTGACCTGTTGGACCAGGTGGCAGCAGCATAGGTTATGTGAGTGCACTTGGAAACTGCTCACTTTGAGGATATCTTGCTGCTTCTTTTCAAAGAAAACAGGCTCTCTGGAATAAGTTTTATAAATCAAATAACTGCAGGTTTGGGGGTTTCTTTTTTTTTCCCTGCTGAGTGTAGGAAAACTCACAGATAGCAGGACGTGTAGACCTTTGTTACTGTGACTCAGAACCATGCAGCTGCTCACTGACTTCCCCCCTTCTTGCTCCCCCTACTCCCCAGGGAGGAGAATTGAAAGAATGTAACTCCCACGGGTTGAGATAAGAACAGTCCAGTAACTAAGGTATAACAGAAATCACTGCTGCTGCCACCAATAATAATAATGTTAAGGGAAATAACAAGGGGGGAGAATATGAAGTTGAAAGAGGAAAAGTAAACAATAACCGGCAGTGATGCACAATGTAATTGCTCACCCAGTCTGACCTGAGCAGTGATCTGGCCTTCTGGCAGAGCATGAGAGACTGAAAAGTCCTTGATTGGGGTAAGCACCACTGAGCAACAACTAAAAACATCGGTATGTTATCAGCATTGTTCCCAGGCTGAAAGTGAAAAACACAGCACTGCACCAGCTACCAGGAAGGAGAAAAATGACTGCTACTGCTGGGCCCAGGACAGGCTTTGGTCCCTTGTTGGCACTCCAGACTTTTCAGTGAACTTTTATTTCAATCACAAGATTTTTTGGTCTCATACTGTAATTTTGGTTGTGGTTCCAAGTAGCTGATGACTGTCTTTTGAAACAAACCAAACTCATATGCCAGTACTGTCTGGATTGGCAAAGGACTCCCATCATTCACCATCCTCCAGAAGCATTTATGGATGAGCCCTGAGCATCCTCAGCTCTATTTTGCTTCTTGTATGAAAGTGCAGCCTGTAGGGACTTCAAGGGATTGATAACTTCGGGCTTTCTCAGAAGATTTTGGAGCAAAGGCTCACTAAGACTGCAAAAGAAGTTGGGAGAGAAGCTTTAAAGCTAAACTTGTAGCTGGAGTATATACCTAGTAAATGGGTGGGGGGTTGTGGATACAAACACTGCTGACAGACTCCTTGACAAAATGAAGTTCAGAAACTCTACTGCACTGGTGGCACAAGAATAAGAGAATGTGATCTATCCATGAATGCACGTGATCTGAAGTGGGACACCTTTGCATGCATCAGGGCAGCAGTTCTGGAGTAAGCTGCCTTTGTTGAGTGTAGGTGATGTGACAAAGCTTGACCAAATAATAGAAGCAACTACACTGTTCACCAGGAAGACAGTGTCTGTCTGTTCTGTTCCTAAGGCTGATTCACTGCTTTAAACTCTTGAGTTAGTAATAAACATAAGAGGTAGCTATATTATATATCTGATACATATCTATAATCTGTTGCCAGAAAGAAGTGCATGTACTGTATGGACTGTTCAGTTACCTGGAAAAGCAGTGAAGCTGAAAACTGCCTTCTGCACGTGCTTTTGCCTCAAGTTACAAGAACACTGGTTCTTCCACTCGGCCTACCATTAAAAACAAATCCATCAAATTGCCTTTCCCAAGGGGCAGATTACAATGAGAAACTGCCTAAAATACCTAAGTAAAATACCTAAAATACCTAAAGAGAATACCTAAAAATGCTTCTTTCACTATGTTCTGTAAACCATTTTTTTTCTAGTATACTGTATACTTGCATTCTGGCTTTTGTTTTTTTTCTTTCTGGTTGACCCTCTTGGATCATGTGCTGCCACTGATTGAAGGGAAGAAATCTTACTTATTCAACACATGCAGTAGTTCAGCAGTAGCATAACCTCCTGTCAGTCTCCTTTCCCTCCTCAGCAACAGTGGTAACACCAAAATCTCCTTTAGCAAAAGCAGGGACGCTGCTGTAAGAAGTTAACTTGGGAGCTACTCTGCCACCATCTTTGTCTTGACCTCCAGAGCTGCTTCTGGGACATACCCATGGCCCTGGTATCTGGCCAGAGGTGCTTGGGGTGTTGGAAGCTGCTCTGAGGATGGATGGAGAAAAGAGGGGGTGGGGTTCCTGGGTAGAGCTTGGGGAGGTGGGGAACAAAATGAGATGATGAATGGGGAAGGCTGAGGGACCTGGAAGATCCAGCTGCAGGGCCATGACCCAGCCCAGAGCCTGTAGCTGCCCCAGCTCTTTGCTATTCTGGTTCAGAGCAGTGGTGGGAGCCCTTGGGCTTGGTTTTGGTGGTGCTGGAGGAGAGACGGGGTGTTTGGGAGAGGGTGAAAGCTTAATTCCTGCTGGGCTCATTGCATGAACCAGGTTTGGGTGGTGATGCTGAGAACTAGTGACAAGTGGGTCCTGAGCCAGCTGCCTTGCACAAGGCGATGCCATGATCTGGTGAGGAAGTGAAACTAGTGAGAGGAAAGCAAAGCTGACCATGTTTTGTCCTAGTACCGTCTGATCCACATCCCTCCGTCACTTTTCTCTCTTGCAAACCTCTCTACTCTAAACACCCTCCTTTTTGGGGATGCCCTTAGCCATCACTGGGTCCCTTCTTGTGCACCCCATCCTGTGGGGGCATGCTGTCCTGTGTTACTCCCCTGGTCTCCTGGGGCCGGGAGCATCTCTGTGGGGAATTGCAGCATGCATCTGGAGCAGGAAGAGGATGTGAGAGAGGAAGTGTGTGAAATCACTATCCCTGGCCTCAACTCCTCTCCCTGGCTGTGGTGAAGAGCAGAGGGCAGGCTGGAGGAGTTATCTGGAGAGCAGCTCTCCTCCTGACGTCAGCTCGTCCCGTGCTGGCATCGGAAACCTGCTGGGTTTGGGGTACACGCGTCTGTGGCTGGAGCTCTTGTGCTGCTTTACTGAGAGCAAAGCTGTTAACCTGACACTTTGTTTGGTGGGTGCTGTTTCTCCCTGGGTCTTCAGGCCCAGCCAAGATTCTTGTGCCTTGGCTTTGGATCCCCTCTTGAGAGGACACAGGAGCTGCTCAAGCAGCTCCTCTGTTTTGTCTCTGCTTTTTCTTGCTGGCCAAAACAATCCCAATGTTGCACAGAGCTCAAGGGAAAAATCAGTCTGCAATCCAAAGGGTGAAAGTCTCTCCTAACCACCTTTCCTGTCCCATGCATCCAGCTCAGGAGAAGGAGGATGGTTTGCCTAAAATGACTCTCTCTACCCAGAGGCTGCGTGTGCCACCTCCAGCAGTACTGAGCAATCCCATCCTGGAGAGTCTTTACCTCAGCAGGAACAAGCTCAGGAGCATCACCAGCACTTCTAAGCTTTGCAACCTGAAGAAGCTGATACTGTCCAGCAATGAGACTGTGGACTTTCCCAATGAAATCCAGAGCCTGCTCTGTTTAGGGAAGCTCGAGCTGAATCAGAACCAAACCCGGCTCATCCCAGAGGAGGTTTTCTCCCATCCCCCCAGGCTTAAACACTTGCGGCTCAACAACAGCTGTCTCAGTGCCCTCCCCAGGGACCTGGCAGCTTGTCAAGGCAGCCTCCTGTACCCCAACATCTCCAACAACTTGTCCCGGACCTTCCCCCAGCCTGTCCTGCAGCTGGCACACTTACAGGAGCTCCACGTGCAGGGTAATGCCCTTCACCCGCTCCCCAAGGAGCTCTTCCAGGGGTGATCCCTGAAAACATTCAAGGCCAACGGGAATCCTCCCTGGGAGCTGTCCAGTGAAGTGTGGGCTGGTGGCATACAGCAGATCCAGAACTACTTTAACCAGCTTCAACACTGTTTGGAGCAGGAGGACAAGAGAGTCAAGACCATGTTGCTGAGGGCCTCGCTGGCGGGGAAGTCCACCATCTGCAGAAGCCTGAAGCAGGGGCAAACCAAACTGGTGCCCTGGGAAGAACAAACAGTTGGGACAGAGATCAGCGAGTTCCGGATTGAGGACTTCATGTTTCTCTTCTGGGACCTTGCTGGCCAGCTGGAGTACTACATGGCTCACCACATGTTCATCACCCCACAGGCACTTGTCATCCTTGTCATCAGTCTCCATATGTAAGTGCTGAGCTGGTTTGGATTCAAAGTGGAGCAGGAGAAGAAAAAAGGGGCTGGGGAAGTTTTCCCCTGTATGAGTTCACACCACTTACATTGGACCTCTGTGCTGGTCTTCTCACTGCTGGAGTAGCCAGCTCTCCCTTCCCTTTCTGCAGATCACTCTTTCAATTAAGCCACTAGCTGTGTCATCACCTTACTGAAGTCCTCTGTTTTGAGAAGTTAGATGAGCATTAAGTCCTTATGTGACAATTGATCCTCATCTAAATGGCTTTGCTTTCTGCCTTGGAAATACCTCTACAAGCCATAGAATCACAGAATCACAGAATAGTTAGGGTTGGAAAGGACCTTAAGATCATCTGGTTCCAACCCCCTGCCATCTTATATCTTGTGGTGCTCCCTGAATGTGGAGGGAGTTATCAGGCTTGGGCTTTGTGCTACAGTAGGATGCTCCTATCCATAGCAGGGACAGACTCTGCTGCACCCATAGCTTTAACTGCCTTAGCTTATTGATGGGAAACTTAAGGATGAGCTTGCATACGGCTTAGGAGGTCTGAGCTCTTCTCCAGTAAGCCTTCTGGGGCAGCACAGGGTGCCTGGTCAGGCTTGTGCCTGGTGGATGCTGGTTGGAGGTGCAGAGGGTTAGACGTGAATTGCCTCTCTCTTCCTCCCCAGATACCAAACTAACGACAAGGCTTTCAAGGAGCTTGTTGGTTTCTGGATCAACAACCTGTCCATGCGCATCCCAAACTTGGTGGTGCTTCCTGTGGGAGCCCATGTGGACTGCTGCCGGGAGGAAGAGGTGGAGGAGAAGAGGCGCAACGTCATGGCCAAGATTGCAGCGATGCAGGCAGAGGGAAAAAGCAGCCTCGCTCACTTCATCAAACACCTGGAGGGCAGTGAGGAGCCCGAGTTTTACGTGGAACAGTGGGAGAGGCTGAAGGAGATGGAAAGCTGCATGCTAACCGTAGGGCTGAGATTATGGTGGCTCCTTGCTTTCTGTTGTCTCTGGCAGCCAGTGTGTTACTGGTGATAGTGACCCAGTGCTAATGCATCAGACTGCTACTGCAGCCACTCCCTGGGGCTGGGGTGGACATGGTAACTCTTGGCTGTGACCTGCTGGATGCTTACCCTTACTTGGTGATGGGCATCTTCTCCTGTGGCTTGTAACAAGTGCCTGAGGAGGAGTATGAGGGGTATTTACCACCCCCAGGTGGTTTTCTGGGAACTGCTGCAGAGCAAAGGTGTGAAGGAAGCACCCTCCAAAGCTGAGCCAGCAGTGTGTTCATCCTTGGTGACCTCCTTTGCAATTGGTCCCTCCGTCAGCTCACAGGCTAAAAGACTCCTCTGGATGTGCTTTTGGCAGATACGCGCTTTCTCTCTTCCAGATGTTGAATCTAGTGGCTGTCAACTGCACAGATCACCATGATACCGAAAAGCTCGAGGCCACTGTTCTGGACCATACGAAGAATGAGAAGGTCTTCCCCGAGGTCGTCCGAGTGCTGCTGCCCATCTACGAGCAGGTGGAAGCTGCCATTGTAGATACTGCACTGCGAGGAGATGGCAGACCAAGGTGAGTGGTCCATCAGCACACTGCAACCTTCCTGCACCTGCTGTCCTGCGTCAGGGACAGGGTCCCCAGTGCTTGCTGCACCCTCTGGCCCAGCTCATGTGGGATTGGGTCACTCCTGAAGACCTTGCAGTGTTATTGCTGGGCCATTAATTGCTACTTGTCTCTGTCATTCCAAGCATCTGCCCCCAAGGCAGGGGAAAAGCATAGGAAAAGGCCAAGTGTGTCTTCACCAGGAGGATCTGCCAACATCTACCAGCCTGCAGCTGGAGGCATCCTGAGCTGGACACATTGCCTGGGTTGCCTGTTTCCAGTAACATTCTTTTTCCCCTGTGCCCTGTATAAGCAATTAAAAAAATGGCAGGAAGGAGCTCCATGGCTTTAATGCTTCTGAGTGGTTCCCAAACCTACATCCTGCCAGCTTTATTTAATGGCCCCTGCCTCTTTCTAGCTCCTTCCCCATGTCCCCTGTGGCTTAGCAAGTCTAGCAGACAGCCCCAGCTCCTTGCTTATGTACCTAAAGCGGGTATGAATATCACCAGTGCCTTGTGTCATCTCTGGCTCCCCTGGCCACTGTATGATTAGAGGAAGGGGAGCAAATAGTTTTCTGTTGAGGAGATAAGCCAGGGTTTGTTGCCTGTCTCACTGCATGACTGAATGACAATCTGAGGTTTTTCCAGCTGGAAACAAACCTGCCCTCCCAAATAATGAAACAACCACTACTAGCCTCATTTTTCAGATGCTCTATTGAGGTCCTTGCAGGCTGCTGGCACCACTGAGGTAAGGCAAGACCATGGCAGCTGCAGGGTGGCAGTGACACAGCTGAGGATGCGGCAGTGACACAGCTGAGGATGTGGCAGTGATACAGCTGAGGATAGGCAAAGCATCATAGACTACAGCACTGGTCCCAGATGCTTCCTGGGCTGGCATGTGTGATGCTGGGTACCACGGGTGTTTGTTGGCTCTCTAAAGCATCTGCCTTGGAATGCTGGTACTCAAGAGATGTGTGCTGAGCTGCCACATCTCCCTCTAGGCATGATGGACCTCCAGTACCTGCTCAGCAGACTCTAGCAGTGCGAACACCTGGCCAACCTGGGCAGAGAGCTCCTCTAGGACTCTTGAGGTTCCTCCACTGCATCGGGCTTGTTGTGTGGTTTGAGCAAATCCAGCACCTGGAAAGCACTGTTTTTCTCCAGCCCACCTTCCTAATAACTATGTTCAAAGTGAGTGTGGGGATCAGGCCCATCTTCTTTGCAGGGCCCATGCTCTGCACCTCTGCTGGGCTCCTCTCATTGCTGCCTCTTCTCTCCTTCTCTTCCCACCCAGCTCCTTGTGAGGTACTGCCTTGTCCAGCAGCTCAAGAGCATCTCCACGGACACACTGACTGGGGAACAGGCCACCGTCAGAGACAGGTCCAGCTGGGTGTGGAACTTCAAGTCAAAGGCGATGCTGTGCCACCGGGCCGTGTGTGCTTTGGTGAGGCACCAGCTCTGTTTGGAAGGGATGCAGGACGTCTTTGAGGAAATCATGGGACACAGGCCCCACAGAGGGAGGAGGAAGATCTTCAGCCTCCTGGAGCACTTCGGGCTCTGCCTGGAAGTGAGGCACAGTGAGGTGCTCAACCCACAAGCCAGTGAGTTTGTACCCGGGAAGCCATGGGGCCAAGGCGAGTCCTGGTACTTGTTCCCGACCTATCTGAACCAGACCGAAGAGGTCTCTGAGGTCTGGGGAGGAGATGGCCGCGAGGACCTCCACATCCGTGCCTACTTCTCACCCGAAATACGTGAGGGTTTCTTCCAGAGGTAAGCAGTGGTTTCCAGCCCTCTGCGAGGTTGCATGGGTCAGGGTTTGCTCAGCACAGCGCCAGTAGGATTGTCAGCAAGCCCTTGGCTGTTGAGACTGCATCAGCTGAGGAATGAGGCTGGAACCCAGGAGACCAGGGCAGCTTCTCAGCTCTGCCATGACGTGTGACGCCCTCAGTGAACCATTTCAATATTCACTGCCTGAATGTGAACAAGGACCACGCTCCTTCTGGTTCACCTTTCATCTGGAGTGGGTTTGGCTGGTCTGTGCCCACCCAGCAAGTCAGAGGTCTCCCAGACCCACCCGCTCCAGTTCCTGCATGTGCTGAGACAGTTTCTGGAAGGTCTCCTGTTCTTGTGTGGTTCTTGACTTGTGCCCAGGGTTTTATCTGGTGGGGTCGAGGTTTAACCCCAGCTGGGTATTGAGCACTGCACAGCTGCTCAGTCACTTCCCCCCACAGGGATGGGGGAGATGATCGCAGGGGTGAAAGTAAGTAAACTCGAGGGCTGAGATAAGAACAGTTTAATAATGGAAGTAAAATTTGAAACAACCCAAATGTAACAAAAAGGAAAATAACACAAAGAGAGACAAATGAAACCCAAGTGATGCAAACGATTGATAAACCATATCTCACCACCCACCAACCGATGCCCAGCCTGTTCCCAGGCAGCAGCTCCCCAGCCAGCTTTCCCCCTAGTGTATATGCTGAACATCACTTTCTGTGGTAGAAAATATCCCTTTGGCCAGTCCGGGTCAGCTGTCCTGTCCCTTCCCAGCTTCTTGTGCACCCCCAGCCCCCCCGGTGGCAGGGTGGTGTGAGGAGCGGAAAAGGCCCTGGTTAGGGCAAGCACTGCTCAGCAACAGCTAAAACACTGGTGGTGTATCGACATTATTCTCAGGCTAAAGCCAAAGCATGGCACTGTACTCGCTACCAGGCAGAACTTCAGCTCTGTCCCAGACATAACCATGACAGAAGGAAGCAGCTCGTGGCTTAAGAGGCTGTTCCTGCTGCTCGAGCTTTTGGTGGGGCATTTGGTGTCTGCCCCTGTCTTTGCTGACACTGGGTTTACATTTTCAAGCCCACATTGAAAGCCGCGCTTTCTCCCAGTGTGAGAGAAGCAGGGAGGAGGCTGGTGAAAGCTGTGGGCAATCTCCTTGTAGGTTCCAGGTGAAAGCTTGCTCCTACTCCACACGCTGGGTGGCCAAGGCAACCTGCCTGCTTGTGTGCAATAGCAAACCTCTGCTGATCAAAGAGAAGAACCAGAGAGCCTGCAGCTGCCTGGCACTTCGGTGCAGAAAGCCAGCAGGAAGGGTAGGTAAGGATCCTTATTTCATGACTCCCAAATGCATGCACCCCCGCAGCTCCCCGCTGCCACCTCCATCTCTCTGGACAGAGTGTCCCAGAAAGCCCTGCCACACGTCCTAATCCAGCCAGGGCCCACCAGCAGTTTAAGGAAAGATTTATTTGTTCTCCATGCAACCTGGTCAGATTCCTCTCAAAGTATCACAGGGAAGTGGAAAGTCAAGTTTTCAGTCTTCTTTTGCAGCAAATCAGTCACCCTTCCCCATGAGCTCCCAGCAGTCCCAGGCTGGGTCTGCAAGTGGTCAGCAAAAGGGGCCATCCGAGCTGGGGAGCTCTTACAGCGTGGCTTTGACTTCATGCTGCGTCTTTGACTGGCACACTGTGTCCCACCAAGGGGCCGGGTGGTTGCTACCGCAGTGCTGCTGGGGCTGGTCAGCTTCTAAAAGCCACATTGTGAAATCAGCCGTGAAATCAACTGGGCACGACGGTGCCCTTGTCCTGACCACAGAAGTTCATGTCCAATTTGGTGTGAGCAAACACTTGTGTGGGCAATTTGAGCATGGAAGGGAAGGGGAAAACCTCGAGACTGGGGCTCAGGCGCAACATGACAGCTCTGGCTAGGTGCCCACATGTCTCCTGGCTCATGAAGAACTGAAGGAGCTCAGGTGGCAGCTGTCCCCAAAAATGGTGGGACCACCAGTCAGGGCAGAAAGAGGGAAGCCTCTTCCATTGCCTGGCATTGTCTTCCATGGGCAGTGCTGAGGGCAGCTCCTGCTGCTCCTTCCTCTCAGGGCCTTTTCCTCCATAGGGTGAAGGAAGATGTAAAATCCTGTGGGACATGTGGGAACTGCTTTGGCGCAGAGCTGCCCTTGCCTAAAGGTGAGCCCAATGGCCCTGGCTTTGCATCACAACAGTGCTCAGGACATGGTGGGATGAAGGCTGTGGGTTTGATGGACCTGAGGTGTTGGTCATGTCCCCCCCCCATTCCCACAGTGCCCAGGCAGCTGGAGCAGCCCCCAGTGCAGCCCTCTGCTCACTATTTTGTGACAAGCTACAGGACCACCACCTTCGGGAACAGCAGCATCCAACCATCAGGTAAGAAGGCTGCCACCTCCCCTTGACCAGGCTCCAACACTGATGGCCAGACTCGTCCTCCCTTCCCTCCTGAAATGAGGGCGTGCAGCCGCTTCCAGCCCGGGCAGGGGACACCCCCTCTTTTGGCAGTGCTCTGGTTACCACACTCCTCCTTGAGGTACCACCACCTCTGCGCCTCAGAGCCGAGCTCTGGGTGCTTCACGCTGTAGTTACTGCCTTGTTGTTCCAGAACATCTCAAGTGAGTAGCTCTGGGCCAGCAGGGAGGAACTTGGTCAAGACCTATTCTTGTTTAGCCACGCTGTCGTCAACACACTTCGCCTCCAAGTCAGATTTGCAGCCTTAATGCAGGGAAATAAATGCATCGATAAATGCATCCCTTCATGTGTGGGAAGACACCTCATTTACACAAATGTAAGGGGGAGAAGCTGGTGAGGAGCACTCTGGTACAAGTCCACTGGCAACAGGGGCTTTGCTGGGATAAGGCTGGCCACAGAGCCCATGGTTTTGGGGGTGGGAGTGTGAAGGTCTCAGAGTGACAGTGAGGGCACATGTCCAGGCAACATCAGCAAGCAGGAAGCACTGCTATACATATTTATATTTAAACTTAGAAAAGTTAAGAAAATAAACCTGAAAATGACCACTCTCCACAAACACACGCATTGGCAACTGATGGAGGGGAACAGCAAGGTGTCCTGCAGCTCCAGGACTGGCCACTGAAGCCGCCCTTGGGGTGCGGGATGCAGAGGAGGAAAGGTCCCCACCATAAGCATTCCGCTGTGGTGTTCCAGGGGGGATGCCGGTTTGTGCTGCCCGTGATGCGACAGGCTCCGGCTGGCGCCTGTCCCTGGTGGGTCAGTCCAGCTGCATGTTGTACTGCTCGATGAGCTCAAAGAGGCTGAAGGAGTCGGAGAGCTGCAGGCTGACTGTGCCACTGTCCAGGGAGGACGCACCCTCCCGCAGGACCTGCTCGTACCAGTATTCACAGAACTTGGGCACCAGCTGTGGCAGCAAAACAACCATCAGGGAGAGGGGCAGCTGCCCAACGGTGCTGCAAAGCCCTGCACAGCCTCGGTGCACGGCACTCTGCGTCTCCCCCAGCCCCTGAGGTCCCCATCCCTGCCCAGCTCCCTCCTGACCCATCCTGCTGCCCCCGTCTAGCGTGGCACTCCCTGGTCTACCCCTCCCCAGGCAACTGGCACTCCCGTATGTCCCTTGCTTCCCAAAGGTTCCCCTCCCTGGCATGCAACCACCCCCTCCCCCCAGTCCCGAGTGCCCAAGGGTCCTGCTCCTTGGCGCCCCTGCCCCTGTCACTCAGTTTCCCCATCCCATCTCTCCCAGTCCCCGAGGTACCCCCTCCTTGAGTACCCACATCCCCGCATGTCCCAGACCCCCAGGGTCTCTTTCCTCAAGCACCCAGTCCCCCATCTCCCCTGGCCCCTAGGAAGTCTCCCCCCCTCCCCCTCCCCCTTCCCCCAGGCAGCAGTGGGGCAGTGGTGAGTGTTGGTCCCTGCACCTTGACCAGGATGAGCTTGGACTTCTTGGGCTTGGCCACAGACAAAGACTGCCCAAAGCAGAGGTAGATGGTGAAGTCAGGGGACTGCTTCCTTCTGTCAGTGCGGAACTCCCTCAGCTCTGCAAAGAGAGGCAGGGCTCAGTTTTGGGGTGCACAGAGGGGCTGTGAAGGGTTCAGATGCTTGTGACATCCTGGCGCTGGCTCCCATGAGCCCCAAAGTCAGGACAGACCCACCCGGGCACCCCTGCCCACCTGTGCAAAACTCGGTGAAGTCAAAGATGGGGGTTTCCTGGTTCCGGATGAGGGGGTTGGCCGGGAGGTCCCCAATGCCCTCAAGCTGCCGGGACAGGGCCCAGAAGACCCTGGACTTCTTGAGGCGGGTGGCGAAGAGCTTGTGGCCGCGATGCTCCAGCTGCAGCCCGGCGCCGCGCAGCAGCTCCTCGGTGAACCACAGCTGCTTCCTGTCGGGCAGCGTGGCGGGGCTGGGGAAATGCACCAGGCTGCCGGGGCGCCCGGCCACCGCCGGATCACAGCTCTGGTACACCAGCAGGCACCGGCTGCCTGCCACCTCCTCCTGGTGGACGAGCTTCCCCCGGTAGTAGATGCTGACATCCAGGTCGGGGATGAAGCCGCCTGCACGGGATAACGATCAGCAACCACATTCCCCCAAACCCAAACGCCCCCCGTCCAACATTAACATTATACAATATTTATTATTAATAGATGTAATACTTATTTGCATCTATTAATAATTAACAAGCCTCACCTGTGTTATCCTCCACCAGTGGCACAGGGGCGGTAGCGGTAGCAGTGAGGAGCATCACTTCCTGTGCAGTTGGCACAGGGACAGGGACCTCTGGCTGGTGGCATGGCACTGTCATGGCCCCTGCAGCCGAGACAGACAGCACTGACATTTGGGATGCAGCAGGGTGGAAGGGTTGCTTCAGTGTGGGGTGTACAGGGCAGCTCCCCAGCCCCTTCCCACCCCAATACGGTGTTTCTATGCCTGGGGCTGGATCCTCCCCCCCAGTACCTACCTTGCTGCTCCAGCAGCATAGGGTCTGGAGGGCTGTAGGCACCCAAGGGGGGCTGCTCCACTGGAGGCACCCACTGCTGAGGGGGAGGCTGGAGGCAGTTGTTTTGGCTGAGGTCTGGATGAGGCTGGAGGAGGATGTTCTGCTGGGGCGCATCCCCTGCAGAGAAATCACCAGTGGGAGGCGGCCAGCGTCACCCACCCATTGTATCACCCACCCTGCACCCTGTAAGTGGGGCTGAACTCACCTGCAGGTGCCCAGGATGGGGTTTGGGGGCCAAGGTCGCGGGTGGAGATGCCACACTGCTGCAGCACCAACTGCAGCTCCTCCAGCAGTGATGGCTGTAGAGGGTCAGCACAGCCTGGTAGGGGATGGGGTAGGAATGGGGAGACAGTGGGTGGGAAGTCGCACAATCTCAAAAACACCCCAGCTATATCTACTGGAATGCTCCCCCCCCAAAAAAAATCCTGGGGGACCAGCACATACCTGGGGGAGCAATTTCTGGGGCCACGTCTTGGGGGTCGAACTGCAGCTGTGGAGGGAAGTGGGATGGGGTCTTACTGCTGTGGATGGGGGCACCCAGCCTCCCCCCACCCCATGCTTCAGTCAGGTGCTGGGCTCCAGCTCAGGAGCACCCCAAGGACATGGGGGTGCAACACCTGTCAGCAGCACAGGGGACTCTCCAGCCCGCCATGCCCACCCTGTTACCTGCAACTGCTGGTGCAGCGGCTGCTGGTCCGCCGCAGGGTTGGGGCTGCTGAAATCTCCTGCATTGCCATGCCATAAGTCTGGAAGGAGAACAGCATGAGTGGGGAGGTCTGAAATCGCCCCAGCAAGGCCTCCCCATGGGGCCAGGCTCACCTGGCTTAACGGCAAACACCTTGTGTGGGTCATCACCACACTTGGAGTGGTCCTCCAGCTCCACGAACATTTGGGTGCTCTTCAGGGCGCAACGGAAGTTGGTCTTCCACTTGACCGGGTTCTCAGGGCACTCCTCATACCGTCCGCCCACCTTTGCCCATTCCTGGGGGTGAGGGGAGGTGCACACGGGCACCATGGCTCCATAAGCATAGAGGTTTCAGGGATACCCAGTCACCAATTCCCACATCCTACCCATCCTAAAGACCTTGAGGTAGCTGCAGGCCACTCCTCCCATCCCACCCATTTTGAATACCTTGAGCTTGCTGCTGGTCACCCCCTCACCCGACCCACCCTGAGCACCTGGGGGTTGCTTCTGGTGAGCCCCCATCCCACCCACCTTGAAGATCTCCCAGTCACTGCTAGTGACATCCTTCCTGGAGTTGTGCTTCCAGGGGACGCGGAAGGCGCCGCGGTACGGGTCCGTCCAGCAGAGCCCCTGGTAGATCCCGCTGGTCACGGCGTTCAGCAGCCAGGGCACGAACCGCAGCTTCGCGGCGTCCCTGAGGATGCGGGGCCGTCACCGGCAGGACCGGAGCCACGGGGGCCGGTGACCGGGGCAGGGGGCGCTGGGGCGTTGCTTACCCATCGCTCGCCATGGTGCCGCGGCGCGCCCGCTGCTCGGTCCGAGGAGGGAGCCCTCGGCCGCCTCCCGCCCGGCCCTTTTGTAGGCCGGGTTCCTGGAAAACACGTCACCATCTCGAAAGTGACTCGGGACCTTTTCGAAAGCGAAAGTGTGGCGGCCGCGGGGCTGGGGGAGGGGAGTGTGTGAGTGTGTGAGTGTGTGAGTGCGTGCGTGTGCGTGTCTCTGTGTGTGCGTGTCTCTGTGTGTGCGTGTCTCTGTGTGTGCGTGTCTCTGTGTGTGCGTGTCTGTGTGTGCTTGTCTCTGTGTGTGCGTGTCTCTGTGTGTGCTTGTCTCTGTGTGTGCGTGTCTCTGTGTGTGCTTGTCTCTGTCTCTGTGTCTCTGTGTGTGCTTGTCTCTGTGTGTGCTTGTCTCCGTGTGTGCGTGTCTCTGTGTGTGCGTGTCTCTGTGTGTGCGTGTCTCTGTGTGTGCGTGTCTCTGTGTGTGCGTGTCTCTGTGTGTGCGTGTCTCTGTGTGTGCGTGTCTCTGTGTGTGCGTGTCTCTGTGTGTGCTTGTCTCTGTGTGTGCGTGTCTCTGTGTGTGCTTGTCTCTGTGTGTGCGTGTCTCTGTGTGTGCTCTGTGTGAGCGTGTCTCTGTGTGTGCGTGTCTCTGTGTGCGAGTCTCTGTGTGTGCTTGTCTCTGAGTGTGCGTGTGCTTGTCTCTGTGTGTGCGTGTCTCTGTGTGTGCGTGTCTCTGTGTGTGCTTGTCTCCGTGTGTGCGTGTCTCTGTGTGCGTGTCTCTGTGTGTGCGTGTCTCTGTGTGTGCGTGTCTCTGTGTGTGCGTGTCTCTGTGTGCGCGTGTCTCTGTGTGTGCGTGTCTCTGTGTGTGCGTGTCTCTGTGTGTGCTTGTCTCTGTGTGTGCTTGTCTCTGTGTGTGCGTGTCTCTGTGTGTGCGTGTCTCTGTGTGTGCTTGTCTCTGTGTGTGCGTGTGTCACGTTCCCTTGCCATCCCGGGGGATGCCGCAGGCTCAGCCTGGTCCCACATCCCCCGCGCTCCTGGCTGCATGAACTGTGTTCAGCTGGAGGAGAGGGGGCGCCGGGAGACCCTACGGACACTTCAAGTGCCTAAAGGGGCCGA